TTTTCTTTTTTCAGTGGCATGATGTGAAACAAACTGTTTCTACCTCTGAGTACATAAAATCTCCCATCATGGGAACAGAATCAAATATGGCTGTCACCCCCCCCACACACACACACAGCTTTAGAGGTGCTCATTCATCCCTCCCACTCCCAGTACAGAGCAACGTGAGCAGAATAAGGGTCTGATGACAAGCTTTCTCCTGAGTTGCAGGTTATTAACAATGCCTGAAAACACATGGCTTCAGCAAATTTGAGCAACATGCCATATGGCAAGAATTGTTACATAATTTCTAAATCAACAGTGTAAAATCGCTAAAGCCAGGGAATATTCTTACCCACAGTGGCCCTCACCTATCCTACCACCAGACTGGTTTCATACCTGGTATGAGATTTATAGGAAACCAGGCAGGAACTAAAAGCCAAGGTTACTAGAATCACTGTTTCCTACCAACATGGCACATTTTAGGAAATGATTTTTTTAATGTACGGATTCATTGTCAAGAATGTGTTGCTGTGATCAGCAGTGGATTTAACCATTTATAAAGACTGCTCAAGTTTACCAGTACTGACTGTAATATAATAACTTCATAATCTTCTGTGTGGATCGAAATACAAGTACATGAATACACAAGGTTGAGGGAACATGAGGGTTTATGTAAATACCACGCTTTAGGTATCTAACCCTGTAGGGTGTTTGTTTGTTGTTTGTTTTCTGAGTCCTAGCACAAGTTTTTGCTTCTAACTCAGAAATACCTGCCAGGCAAACATTATTACGACTACCTAGCCAAAGGGTAATAGAAAGAAGAGATAATATATTTACAAGGTAAAATGCCTCAAAGCGCGAGTCAATGCACTGCAAATGACTCAACAAACAAGCCTTTGATTTGTCTCCTGGAAGTCCACCACAGCTGTGCCACCAGCATAAAATGGCTGATTCATGTTTTAACAGAGTTGGAAGAGACCTGAGATCATACTAGGCCATATGTTCTCTTTTTATGCCTGTTCACTGTTGATGAAAAAGAGACCCACACAGGTTGTCTTTAGCTTGTCCAAAGCCTAAAGCTTATAGCAAAACCAGAACTCCTAAATCCCAGTACAATCCAAAGTACTGATGCTACTACCCCAATTACTATCACAGTAAGGCAACTATAAAGATGATGATAAATATTAAGTGAAATTGTCCTATATGTCAGAAACGTAGTCCTCAAATCAATGCTGAGATCATAACTATCATTAACCTTAGTTCCCACATGAGGAAACAGGCTAATGAGATTCAGTAGCTTCACCGTTAGAAGGTGGTGGGACTAAGCATTGGAATCCCATATTCTGATGTAAGAGTCCACCTTCTTCAACTACTCCAACCCTCTGCAATGCCATTATATACAACAGAGAATTAGTGTTTTTAAATTAAAAAGTCTGACAATAGAAGCTCTTGCTACAGCTTTAAATAAATAGCAAAACACGACAATTTACCAGTTTGACACACCAAATTTAAAATTTGTGTTTCCTGGCCTCTCATCCAGGCACTTGTCCCCTCTCTCCCTTCACTCTCCCTGCCAACTCATTTTGAGAGCTGCATTGAAAGTCCTGATTCAGTATCAATGATACCATTATTCACTGAGTCTGAAAAATAGGATGGTTTCAGGAAATATGTGCTTCCCCTTCTCTATTTCCCCTATTTCCCACCAGAGAATGAATGTTTCTGTCTTAATGTTTCTATTCACTGTTAAGAATTGCTACTTCTTTCAAATGAAGAAACTGAAATCAAATTAATATGGAAACTAATAAGCTAATCTACTAGTAATGTATTTACTAGACAGTTTACTTATAATAGATGAAAGCCTGAGAGAACAGCAACTAAGAATTTTAAAGAGGATCACAGTATTTGTACAATGATGGGGATATTTAAAGAATAAGAAAAATGTCCCCCAATCTTTGTTAAAAAACAAAACAAAACAAAACAAAAAACATTGCTCTTTGAGTCAAAAGACATTCTTTCAGGGCTACGTGGAACACAGTATTTAGTCATCAAGCAAGTAAGAATTTAGGGAGATTTTGTCTGTTAGTATATTTTAAAGTACTTAATCTTTTAAAATATTTTTGACAATACTATTTGAAATATAGTTACAGAAATCTTAAATTCAACAACTGAATCTTATCATCTGGACTTAATGAAGTTATAGCTGGCTAAAAAAAAAGTTTATGGGACATAAGTGATACATGTAGAAAGCTGACATGGTCTCTATGAGCAACAATGGGATATGTGATTCCAGGAGATACAGAAAGGGAAAAACAATCTTCTTTAAGCATTATTTTAAGTATATCATGCCACTGCCCTGTTCTTCACCATATCAGTGTAAACTTCTTACTTTAGTTTTTACAATGTCTCATCATCAAGGACACGAAGATGCACCTTCTGCTCATCCCACTTCTCCATCTTCCCTTATGGCAAACCCAAATGGGGTACCATTTATGAGTACCTTCCATTAATCAGCAAAGAAAGTTACCAATTCAACCCCTACAACATCAAATGACACAGGTATAGTCATTTGCATTTTACAGAAAAGAAACTGCAGCTCAGAGAAATTAACAGAAATTGTCCAAAAGAACAAAAGCAGTGGGCCCGAGACTTAATCCTGGAATGACATCAAAGTCTATGTGCTTGCCTTGATATCAGGTCACTTCTTCTGTCTGGATACCTTTTACAGTCCTTCTTAAGTAAGCCCTATTCTTCACTTTTTAAAATGTCTTAGTTAACAAGCAAAAATGATATATACTTATGGCATTGTATAACACGTTTTAATATATGTATACCTTGTGAAATGGTTAAATCAGGCTATTTAACATATGCAGTGCTTCATATACCTATCATGGTTTCTCCTATGCTTAACTTTTATGCCCAGTTTCTGTACCACCTCTGTGATGCCTTCCCTAGCAACGTCAGCCTGTCCAAATTTTGCCTGTTCTTGGATTTTCTGTAGCACCTCAAACCTGTACAATTTGTCAGATGTACAGATGCATTCCTATATCCAAACATTTGAGAGTAGAGGGAAGAAAATCATGAGTTTAAGGTCAACCTGGGCTACACAGAGGGATCTCAGAAAACAACAACAAAAGATCAGTAAAATTTAGAATTTAAATATTATCTCAAAATATTGTTCTGTACGCATTTTTTTTTTTGCTTCCCAACTTAGCTGATTTTTCAAGAGTCCTGTGCTGCACACACAGTACAGATTCCATATTAAGGAATTATTTTGAGACTTTTTGGCTTCCTGGGAGCCACAAACAAAAGAGTAGGGAAGGTAAACTGGGGCTACACAATAAAGGAATTAAAATGTAGTCAAAAAAGTATAGGTTTTATCCAGTAGATGACGAAAGGTCCTGGAAAGTATTTGAGAATTGCATGAGAAAAGCTCTAGTTAAGAAAGACCTATCTCCCTACATGGTGAATAACAGCAATGGAACAGGGTAAAAAATTGGGCTTTGTACAGCTACAGAATCTGTCCCCATTTGTCTCTGCAAATGCAGGAAACATTTCACTTTTTCTGTTAATTTAATATAAAAGCACACATCCAGCACAAAAATACATATAGTGCTATCCATCAAGACAATCTATTCTAGACTTTGCATAATTTATTTAAAGTCTCAAAAGGATGATAAAGAGACAAATTAATTAAGATCTAGCTATTAATTTTAATAAAATGTTGCTGAAGTTGCAGGAAGGATGTCTGGAGTACCTAATTTACCCAACATGAGCAACTGAAAGAATCTCTCTAGTTCACAATGATTAACTTTGAAAACATTATATATCAAAGAAGATTAGCAGCTTTGCTTTATCTGGTAAAGAAAAAAGCTAACAACAAACAAAAGTTAACTTCCTTATGTAATTAGCTTCTTACCTCCAAATCTTTTAAGACCTACATTCCCTCTCTATACGCATATATATACTTTCTTTTTTACTAAATGAGAAAGTAATTCTGCTGATGTCCTTAGAAGAAATAAGGAGAAAACACAGAGATGAAGCATCTAGTTTAGAAGATCTACTGTGCAACATGGTGTCTATAGTAAATAACACTATTACATTTTTGAAAATCACTAAGTACAGATTTTAAGTGTTCTTAGTACAAAAAATAAGCATGTGAGATAATACATAAATTTATTAGCTTGATTTAGCCTTCCAGTTCTTCACCTTTCAAAATAGTATTTTGAAATATACTATTTCAAAACATCATGTTTTATGTGACAAACACATGCAACTTTTGTCAATTAAAAGTAATTAAATAAAAAAGGTAAATATTTGGGGACTTCCCTCTTGAACTAAGGTGATTGTGACTGACACCTAGGAAAGCCTCAGAGTCACAGAAGATCATAAGTCACAAAATAGCAGGCATTTGTGTTACACAGAATGGGATAAAATCCTCAAACACAGACTCCTTGCTAATGTGATTTAGGAGCATCATTTTCCTGAGGAACATGTCATTTTTTTCATGTCATTGGTGAGGACATGAGTGGATCCCAGAAACCAATAGTACCTGTGCTTGGCTTACATAAACAGAGAAGATTCCCTGACAGTTAAAGACAAGGGAGGCATAACAAATGAAACTGCTTCATGTGACTGTTTTATGACTTGAGGTGATTGCTCTACTATCTCCAATCCCTGGAACATCTCTGAACATGACACTTCTTTCACAGGTGAAGAACTGGAAGGTTAATGAGGTTTTAAAAACTGCCCAAGGCTGCTTAGCAAGATAGCAACAGAGCCAGATTCTAAAACCAATTTTTTTTTTCTTTTTTTGGTGGTGCTAGGGATAGAACCCAGGGCTTTATATATGGTAGACAAACACTCTATATCATTAAGTTACATCCTTAGCCTGAAACCAAATTATATTGGCCACTTGCTAGAATTTGAGAGTATGAATTAAATATGAAAACAAAACTCCAGAATGATTAGAGAAAACAGAGGTAATGGAAGAGGCCAGGGGCCCAACTGAGTCAACTTACCAGCATATTTTGTAGTGTTAGATTCATCCATGGACCAAAAGCAATAATCAAAAGCAAATACCTGAATGAAAGAACAAAGTATTAAACTTAAAATTTAGTTAATATCTCATGAGTAAATCAGGCTAATGGAGAAGGATGCTATTGTCTGATAAAATATAGTAATCTTAAACTGGCTGAGGCCACCATGGGAAGGGGACTAGGGAGGAGTGAAGAGGACTGGTAGAGAAGAACCAATTGGAGTTATAATACATATATGCATGGAAACAACACAAGCAATCTCCTGTATGGGTATTTTTATCTCAAACTAGCAAAATCGCCATGCTTCTCTTATTGTCTTTTATGTTTTTTCTTCTTCAAAATTGGAGAACAGGAGGGGAACAGGTTCTGCCCAAAGTGGCACTGGTGGGGTGGGGGGAGGACGTGGTGGCAAGGAAAGAGGCAGGAGGATGAATATGGGGCAAACGATGTATCTGTGTATGTGAATGCTATCATCTGATGAAAAAACTGTGATGGGTCTGATGCTTTTCTTAACCCTATACTCCTGAATTAAAATTTATATGAAAATTACACTTTATTCAGAATTCAAACAGGCAGACATCTTAACCAGATTAAAAAAAAAAAAAAACATTTAGTAAGGAAAAAAAGTGGACTTTCTCTCCCAAGTCCACTGGTGCCCACTGAAATCTTCTGGTTGGATCCCCCATGACTTCTCAAGTAAGGCTAAAATGATTAACTTTCATTTACACTAATTCCTTCTCTTCTTCTAGCTTTCCATAATCTTGCTTCAAGTATGGTGAAGCTCAAAACTCCCTACCTCCCAGTGTTGAACTCCTTTCCCCTGTTTCAACATGCAATCTCCAGCAACAACTCAGTAATTTTTGCTCTGGCAGGCATCAACTTTCTGCACAGCTTTGAATGCCAACTATACACCGGGAAACACTGATGCTTCCTCCATATCAGGACTCCCATCTAATTATCATTTCCACTCATATTAACACCACCTGTGTTCCAAACAGTATTATCAAATGCACAGGATAATGCTGCCCAAAATGTGTTTCAAGAAACAGTAGTTTCTTGAAGTAGTCATGAAAAAAAAAGGCTTAATCATGTTGGAAACGGGGCATGTTACCCTATTTGAGATTCCTGAGGCAATTCTCAATATTAAAGGCTCTGAAAAGTCCTCAAGTAAAGAAACCCATTTATCTGCTTGGCTTTTTTATTTCCAATTAATTTTGACTGGGAGACTTTTTTGGGGGAACACCTATTCACATGCCTTGAAAGTAGCATCTCTCCTATGGCTCTTAGCAAACTCAGGCTTAGACTCAGCAGCCTCTATTCTGGCTTCTTGCTCTCCTGCAGTTGAAACAGTAAATTAAAAATTTCCAGTGGACAGGGATCCTTCAATGCTTAATCATTTCCAAGAGATATTAAGCACTAGGCAAATACAATCCATGCTTTTCTGGGCTGGCATTTGAGACTGGATATTTTGAGGTCCTTCCACACCATCTTCTCCAAAGTACTCCTGTCCCAGTGGAACTTGTCCTTACCTTCTAATTTCTAGGTATAATTCTACTCTGTTCCTGTTCTCTTTTTCATTGCCACCCTTCAAAATGCCTCATACTCCTTAAGGCCAAGCTTAATACATTTGTCTCTCAGGAAATATTCCCTGGTTAAATCCAAAGGAATCATCTTTCCCTTCTCTGAAATTTCACAACACTGTTTAATTCCTTTTATGACTCCCGTCCAATTATTATTCTACTTTCCACTCTTTGTGTATATGATCTATATATGCTTTATCTCCACTTGTTGTACACTCTACTTGAAGGCAAGACCCATATCTACTTCAACTTTGAAGCTTTCAATGCTCATATTAGTTGCTGTAGAATTATGTAATGAATGACTAATGGCATCAAAACTTTGCAAGCAAGCACACACGTTTTACATAATAAAAGAATAAGTTATGCTATCAATAGTTTCAACATCACATGTATTTATTTTAGTGCGTTTACAACCAATTCAAGTATATACAATGCACACAACTTACACCAATCTCACATTCAAATTCAAATCTGATACTTATATATGCATTCTCTCTAGTCTTATAAGAACCAGGTTTCAAATGAACAGTTATGAAACAAAACTTTCAGCCAACAGTGTGGTATGTTTACTGCATTCTAGGGCTCTTCCAATGACTTGAAAGACCACACAGGCATAAACCAGTTAATCTTCCTGCCTCTGGGCAGTACTAAATTTCAACACTTCTCCCTAGAGATGCAGATTTGCCTTGGTTTTAAACATTTCCAGAAAAGGAGATTCCACAATCTCCCTTCAATAGTATCTTATAACACTTAACCATTCCCAGGACAGTTTCCTTTCCTTTCCACCCAAGTCAGCTCTCCTTACTGTACTTCAAATGGCAAAAAGAGGCTACTTTCCCATTTTTTAAGTATCTTTACTATTATTCTCTGGAATATGAACTTCTTTAGTAGCTCCTACACAGAGTGCCATAATCATTTATTTTCTATATATTAAGTTTTCACACCTATTTCAAAGTTATTTTTAACAGTTTGCTATTCTGCATACTAAAAGTCAGAAAGCCATTGATTTGTATTCATGGGAATGCTACTTGAAATAAAATGAAATTCACCCCAAATATTTAGGACCTACCCATCAGTAAGAATCATCCCAAATTCTGTGACAAGTTCCATCTCTAATAAGCATGTATCTGTTTAAAGTCATTTTGCTAATAGAAAGAGGAAACGAATTTCATTTTAAGCATTTTCCTCCTAAAATTCAGGCAAATAGTAAAAACATGCAGAGGAGCATGTAATCTTAGCTACTTGGGAGGCTAAAATCAGGAGGACTGTGGTTCCAGGTTAGCCTGGACAAAAAAAGTTCACAAGATCACTGGAAAAAACTGGGCATGGTGGTATGCTCCTGTCATACCAGCTATGGTGGAGAAGGGTAAAAAGAGGGTCACAATCCAGGCCGGCCTGGGCATAAATAAGTGACTCTACCGCAAAAATAACAAAGCAAAAAGGTCTGGAGGCATGGCTCATGCAGTACAACACCTGCCTAGTAAGTGCAAAGCCCTGAGTTCAAACCCCAGTACCACTAAAACCTGTAAGAAAAAAGGGCCCTGATGTTATTAGAAGATCCAACTGTTCTTTGCTTGTCAAATATTGACCTCTCCTTCAACTGGGTTATGTCTTGCATGTCAAAATCTTTGACTACAGGCACTTTGGGCTAGTGATTCCTCAAATCAGTCATGGAATATAGGCTATTATTTTAGTCAACTTTTCTTAGAAAGAAAGCTGAAGCCCAGAGATCTAAATGCTTTCCCTAAAACTCAAAGCAAATGAATAGAAAAATATATATATTTTTAAATCTTAAGGCTATATAAGTGGTTTCAAACCCTCTTTCTCTTTTAGGGAAAAGGAATTTATACAGCACTTTGTATGGCCCATGGCATTAGTGCACAGTGGTCCTATTTTATACCTTGGCTCTTCTGTGTTGATCTTACTTCCAAATCTAAATGGTAAGCTCAATGGTAGCAGGGACTAAGCTTCATGCACTTCATAATGCCAAGGTTCAGTCCCATCCAGAACAGTCACCAAACATAGTATTTTTTAAATTAATAATGCAGAAAAGAGCATGGAATGGATGTGAGAACTATTAGGACTAAGCAGAAGTTCAAGCTGAAGGATGTATTTTTAGACATTTCATTACTTTCAGATTTATGTCTTGGGGGAGGATGGTCCCTTAAATGGTCAAATACAGATTTGGTGCTAGATGAGCACAGGGGTCCTCCTCAGCACCATCACTCCATCATTCTGGTGAATAGGCAAGTATGACTCTATCATGCACAACTGGTAGTTTGCACAGACATTAGAACAATTTGACTGGTAGTAGAAAAATTGTTATGACTGATACTAGGGGAATTTTAAAGATGTTTAAAATAATTTCTTTGTCAGGCAGTCCAATCATTCTCCTGCAATCTCATCATTACTACAAATAAATTATTCACAAACAATTATCCTTCTTTTCATGGCCTAAATTTAATTATAATGGAATAACACAAGTATGATTGCATAAGGAAACATGATATTCTTAGGTCTTACAGAAGTTGATTTTCCACTGACATTTCAAGAGATAAAACCATTTTTCTCAGAGTTGTTCCTTAGAAACAGATCACTTCAAACAAAAAGAAAATCATTTTTCCAAATCACATTATATTAAAGAAGCATGTTATTTTAAAACTGACTCATTTCATTAGAATTCCTAAACACCTATATCATTATTCATTAAGAAGTCACTAGTATCTTAATTGCAGTGTGGGAGATGGAGGACTTCTTAATGCATACAACTGAGCAAATAAATTAAAATGAGAATCAAGTGTGAATTTTATATTAAATGAACATCTGCCAACACTATGGGAGCACTTTTTGTAAAGGCATTCCTACCTTTCCAACTAGAAAAGGAGCCAGAAGTATAGACATGCTCTAGTCATTCTTAAAATCTGAATGCCATTATCTCCACTGTTTTCAACAACCCTGGATACCACCTTCTCAGCATCCACTCCTTCCTCTCAGTTCACCATCGCAGGGTTTAATTTCCTGCAGCTTGCTGTACATTTGCTCCCCCTTTAGCAGTCTCTTAAAAATGTTAGCTTTGCATTTTCGTGGAACACTGAACATCTAGTAAAGCTCTAAAGCTGTTTTTAATAAGACAAATGTGTTGAGTGATATATATTCTGAAGTAACAGAATTCTAGGATTTGTGAACAGGATGCAGCTCAAACTTCATTCTTATCTCCAAGTGCTGTCTCTGATGGCACTTCAGTAAAACTCAATTCACAGTTTAAAAAAAGATGAAAGAAGTACATCTATGTTTTCTGGACAACCAGAAAGACATCAGCACTCTAAGGAATGTCATTTGTAATCATTTTTCTAATTCATAAAAACCAAATGTGAAAAAAAAAGAAAAATGAGAGCCTAGTGTGGTGGTGCACACATGTAAGTAACCCCAGCACTCAAGAATCTGAGGCAGGAACATCACCTTG